TAGCCAAATCTGAAAATTTGAACTCTAGATATTTAGATAAATGCACGTGATTTCCTCATTCTCCCTATCACTTCCATGTTAAATCATGCGAAATTTACTTTCGATTTTCTCAAAAACTGTACGGTAAAAAAATCTGAAAAAATTCCGGGGTTCATAGATCGAGTTTTTAAACATTGTGTAAAAGTTTAAAGTAAAAACTGAAAATTAGAAAACAATCGAGGGTAATACCTTAAGTGCCGTTTCGTATGTTTTGCTACGATTTTTAATAAATGTTATCTAGCTTATTTGTTTTTTTTTATAAATCCGGGGTTCTATATAATTCGGAGGATAAGTCAATTTAACTCTGTAAAGCGTTTTGCGCCTTCGTTTTATTTTTTATAACTCTTTCGGAATTTTTGTTTGTTATTTTTCTACGGAGTTTACGCGGATGCATTTAATTTAAAACTTACCAACGGTGAATTCTAATTTGCGCAGGAATTTTGCGAGCGATATTTTCAAAGCATATTCTCAAAAGCCTCAGGTAAATTACATTTATGACGTATGCAAAAATTGAGCTTTTCATAAAAAAAAAAAAAAATTGCTTTTTACGGCGCAATAAACGTGATTGAGAGATGCTTTTTTTTCCACAATAATAATAAAACAAAATGAGACGAAGATTTCGTCATTTAGCAATACCAGCATCTTAAAGATCGTTTGTGTTCGCCAATGAAATGACGAGATCTAATTACTCGGTGATGTTTGTAAATCATTGTCCGGAAACGTTTACAGCGAGAACGATTAGTAGCGGAGAAAATTGGGGACGTAGTAAGTAGTCCTTTGTGTAAGACTGCATTTTCTGGAAAAGATGGAAGAGGGAGATTAAGAGAAAGAGAGAAAGAAAGAGGAAGGGAGGGAGAAAGAGAGAAAGAGAGAGAGAGAGAGAGAGAGAGAGAGGGAGAGAGAGAGAGAAATAGGCGAACAAACTTGTAGACAAGTCTGTCTCTCTATCGTGACAATTTTAAAAGAGATGAAATTAAATGAAGGCAGTCTCTCGTCAACTACTCAATTGCTCCATGATTCTAATTCAGTTTTGATGTACTGCTAATTAAAAACTAAAATCTAATTTGCAAATTTGAAGAAGACAACTTAGTAAACACAGATGTTCCGTGCAAATCAAATTATATACGCTTTCTAAATTTGTTGTTCACAAATATGAACAAATACTTCACACAAGTACAATGTAATTTGCTTAATTGAGGATAATTTTACATTTTTTTTCTACTGAAGATTAATCAAATTACGTGGTACATTGTGCGGAATGTTTAATTGCTTAATAATTCGCATATATACGTAACATAAACACGCAATGTATATGGATATGATACGTTATAATTGGATATGATATGTTACGATTTTTGTTCCATACTTTGCAAAATACACTGAAAAAAATTGCACGCAGCGTCACACATCGCGTAATTTTTAGAGCATAAAATTAGATAAAATACATATGTATATATATATATATATATATTACAAATAAAAAATCTCACCTAGTTATATTGTATACAATGATGAACAAAAGTAAAAGTTTGTTACAATTATTTATAATAAATAGAAGAATACTTTTGTTATTTAATTATTTGCATAATTTTTTAAGAGGTTGCAGGTTGCTTCCGAAGCTTTTAAATGATAAGTTTGAAAATTTTTTAAAAGTAAATAAATAACTGTATTTAGAATTTGCTTAGAGAGAGAGAGAGATTATTTATACATATATAGTAGACTAACAAATATTTTTTTTATTTTTCTTACGTCCAAAAAGTTTCGGCGCACAAGGAATCTTTTTTTTTCTGCAGTTTTAAATTGGCGTACAGGATTCTAAGCACACGTTTGTTCGACCTTGAATAAAACAAAAAATATTCATTATTTACATATCAAAGACCAGAGAAATGCATAGGAATTTTTCAAAATACTGAAAACTCTTTTTGCAATTAACATTTTTATGTAAATTTTAGAGAGAAACTTGCAAGTCTTTTGTAAAATAGCTGTCATTTAAAAAAATTAAAAAAAATCCCTACATGCTTCTCTAGTTTTTGATATGTAGATGTAACGAAAATTTTGTATACTCTGTGTTCAAGGTCAAACCGTGTACTTAGAATTCTGTACATCGATTCGAAGCTGCGGAAAAAAGCGAATTCCATAAGCGAGCCAGTGCGCCGCCATTTTGGACATAAGAAAAATACAAAAAGCATTCTTTTCAGTTTGTTTATACGTATATAATAAAGCAGATTTTATATATATATAATATATATATAATATATATTATATATATAATATATATATA